TTAATATCAATTCAGAGATTTTAATTTCCAGATTTTATAGGTGAGACGCAGCAAAAAACATGTCAAAAAAGAATGAAATCTGAAGCCATTTTGTTGAAAAGGTTCAAAGTATAGCCTGCTGTGATGAGAACTAATTAACAGTATTTTTATTAGGAGAACCAAATGCACTAAAACAAAATATATATATACGTTTTATTAAATAGACAAGGACATGAATGACAGACCCTCAAAATTGTAATAATGTTGCGGTATTTGAAGCAGCAAACCTGTATTTCTAATTGCACAATATTGTATTGTTCTAATATCACAATAATGGCAGAAAACTGGATCAAAACTGGTACTAAAAAAACTCTCACAGCTCCATCAGTCCTGTCCAGAAGATTATTTAAATCTGACAACACATACTAACTATAGTTTATAATCATTTAACAGCCAGCAGTTTAATTTGAAACCCATGTTTCAAGAACATATCCTGAGCCAAGAATCAAGTTGTTGCAGTTCTAAACTATCAGGTCTGAACCGCTCAATGTTAATGAACTAACCCCAACAAAAACAGGAATGTTAGTGAGCTCAGCAGCATGTGGCTTGTTAAGAAATCAGCCCACAGTGGGCTTATAAAGCTTAATTACGGTGCTTATTGATCATCATTAGAGGGCTGGAGAATCCACTTTATTTTGTTCATTAAGGCGAAACGAGAACAGAACATTAAGACCGCAGGCGGTCAGGTAATTTAACAAAGCATAATGTTCTGGGACACAGCACCAAAAATGCTGCACAATAAAAACAACAACAACTTAGCCGAAGGGTGACAGCAATCATTCTCTGCTTTGGTGAAATAAATTACCTTGTAAAGGACAGATCAGAACCCCATTTACATTAAAGCATTGGTTATGCAATTTTGTTTATGTGGCTTTCCAGGCAATTTTCCATCATTTAGCACTTTTATTGCATCTTAAGAGAAATGTTGCCTCATTAGTCCACATAAGAAAATGTTTTTCCCACTTTAATTTCCAATAGATTTTTGGCACGCATTTGTAATTACGCTGCTGAGCAAATTTGGTTGAGGTCCTAAACTCTCACATATTAGAACAAAGCTTCCCCTCCTGAGAGCCAGGCCTACTAAATAAACGCTCAACTGTTCCATTGGTTTGCACACTGAGGTGTTTAATGAAGGGTCAGTGGAGGAATTCTGATAGCAAAGGTCTAACAAGTTCATCAAACGTCAGTTATGATCAATGGGAGATTACCTTATTGATATATCAGAAGTCAATATTGTCAGTGGCCAAATTCTCAAATGAATCCAAATCAACCATGACACCCCTGCCCCCTAGAGGATATTGCAGGACTTACAAGCACACAATGAAGAGGTTTATGATGAGTCATTTTAAAATGTAAGCTCTACTTGTAGGTTGCTATTACAGAGTGACTCATGCTGATCAACACATCAGGTAAGTAGTGATAAATGGTATAAGCAGTGTTTATAACTCAATATATTGTTAAAACGTTCATCCCCTTGATATGCGGCCAAACAAAAAAGTTCAACCAAATCTTATTTCCTATATTCTTAATTTGACTTTGTCCATGACAGTCTGAACTTGCATTCCTTTTGTTTTTCTATATATTACCTTTCTATAATATTTCTGTAAGAACATCTGGTTTCTGCAGGAGGTTGACATTATGTCCTTTTGATACACGCCGCCGCAGGAGACTGGTGATGATATCTCTGCTGGTTAGTGAACATTGATTTATAACATTCTTGCTGCATGAGTCCGTCGCATAATGTGATGCAGAGCAAACACGTGACTGTGCGTTCAGGTTGGTTGTCCATTATATTAGTTGTAGTAGGCCTACTTGTATTTTGAATGGAAATATTAACCATTCCTCCTCCTACTCTATTATGAATCAGAGTCTGACGAATAATTAATGGCGAAATGTAACTTTTATTTGCCCTTTAAAACGAGAACAGATTAAATCTCATCATGAGACTGAAGGGGAAATCACAGCATCTTAACAAGTTCGTTTCGGCGGCTGCTCATAAAAAGTAGCCTACGTTTTTTTTGTTGCTGCAAATGATCATTGCGAATAATAATTTTCTTATTTTAAAACAATTATTATTGATTTGGTTTGTTCACTCACTGTTCGGATTTTCCTAAATTAAACATGATGCCTAAATCCAATGTTTGCTGAGGGATATTAATGTTATTAATTTAGGTTTAGCTGGATTAAATTAATATTTAGTTGAGTAGATTAAAGGGCGGTATTTTTTTTTCAATGTATATTTTCCAGCTTTAAACTTGTTTTTCGAAACGAAAAAGATTGTTTTTATTTAGGGCTACTCCAACTCCGAACAGAAGGTGGTAGTGTGGTATCTGGAAACAAGAAAAAATAACTTGTGTATTCAAAGGATTTTGTCTTGAAAATTATGTGAATTCATCTTTCCTCCGCATTTCATATTATAATAATGCACTTGTTTGGTAAATATTCGATTCATTACCCTATAAAACTGACAATATTGTGTCTAATATTTTGTATTAAATTACAAAATGCTACCGATAATAACCAATGCAGAACAAATAGCGTTACATTTCTATTTGTCTTCATTACATTAACTGGTTTCAAATCATTATGGTAAAACTATATTATTTTTAGTATAAAACGTAATTAATGATCAAGTAGCATAAAGGTTAAATCCTCTACTTGTTTATGTTAATATTTAAATATATATTTGTGCAAATTGTTTTTTTTAGGGAAACCGATTTCAACAGAAAAAAAATCACATTATGGGTCTTCACAATTTACGTTTTGCTAAACAATACAAGTTTTTCTAAACAATGTTTGTTTAAAAATATTCAGAGATTTAAAAAAAAAATGGCTATATTTTCTTGAATAACCTATAGGCTAATCATTTGTCTCGTAAAGTCTAATTTCGTGTCCTCTTTAGGCCTACATCTTATGGAGAAAAACAGGATAATAAAGGTTAAATGTCGATTAAACATCCCCTAAATCCTCTGCCTTAATAACCATGTATCCGAGCTGCAGAGCAGACTTCTAATAGCCCATTTTCCCTTTTATTTGGGATCAAGGGCTTTTAACTACAGAGTCAAACAGCGTCGTGTGATCTTTTGGATGATATAAACAAGTGAGTTTTGTTTTCTGTTGAAGTCCTGGCGAGATTGAGGGTGGCAGACAAAAGAAAGAAAGAGTTGAAAGAATAGACAGATCCCCTTTGGCTCTTTTGTGTCAAGTTTCTCTTCTTTTCAGATAGTGCGTCCATCCATGTGATTTAAACGCATTGTTAGGGATTATGTATTAATTCATGCTTCCTAGACATAGAGGAGCGGAGATTGTGAGAGGAAAATGCACTCTCAATTTAATTTAATACCGTGTTATATTAAAAAAAAAGAAAAAAAAAAAGGAAAAAAAGATTAAATTACACTATCAGAGCAGTTGTGGAAAAGGTACCCAGACCCTTAAGTAAAAGTAGAAATATTAAATTGAATTCAAAATGTTATTTATGTAACTATGAGCTAAGTATGTTATATTTAATCTATCAAAAGAAAAAGTCATTACAGAGAACATTTATTTTCACTGAACTATGTTATTGTGACTTTTTTTATATCACTGTAAAAGCATTGTAATCTTATAGTTTGTCATCCAATTTAAGATACCTATTAAACGATGTGGATTATAATAAATTACTGCATCATATCTTAATGCACATCGTGTGTTTATTGTTATTGAAAAGGAACCAACCGAGTGTTAGATAATTGTAGTGTAGTAAAAAAAAAATCATAAAATGGAAATACTCGAGTACTTTTTTGACATACTATGTTCTTCTAAGTACAATCTTTGAGTAAATGTCTAACTCCCAGCCCTGACTGCAGGACAGCAGCGTGTCAGCGCAGAGGAAATCACAGCAGAGTCAGGAGTGTTGCCCGTCCCAGTCCCCCGTTGACATTTTAGGAATGATAAAAGTTCCGCCTTGCCTGGAGCTACAGCCTCGCTGGAGCCGGCCTCCGTCTGCGGCAGATTGCCTTTGCTCATTACAGCAATTATTTTACTCCAATTTAACCCCTGCCTGAATGGCACAGAACTCGAGAGAAAGCATTTTAAAACTGCCGTGGTGGAGTGCATGTCTGTAATTGTCTCCCTATCCCTGTTTTGTCGTTTAAGTCTTCCTGATGGCAGAAAATGACTCATCTGAAGGAGGAAATCTTTTCTTTATGTGCCCCAGATAATATGCTTGTACACATGGTTGTAACACCCTATATTCTCCATAATGGGGTGTCACCTAGCTCAGTTTACACCCTAAACACTCCATAATAACACCCTTGTAGATTGTTTACATGCGATTTAGCCCAGAGAAGAAGTGATCTTCAATATTTATCGGTGTGTTTTGAAGTCAGCACAACTGGTTGTCAGCCCCCCCTCCTCAACATCTTCACCCCCTAAACTCTGCTGGCGCCAACCAAATCTAGGTTAGTTGTTTCAAAGCAATAGGCAGCAGCTGTAGCAAGACATTCCTTTAAATAACATTTGACAAGTTTAAATGCACACTGCACATCAGCACTGCATGGCTGAAATACCTGCTGCAGAAAGGTTTGAATTTAAGACATTATGTTGTCAATATTGTTATGGCATGGGTCACATAAATCCTAAAAAATCCATAAAAGTCTCCATGACATTTCAAATAGGATAATATTTCAAATGTGCTGTTTGATATTCCTATTTTTTAACATGATTTGAACCGGCCTGGTAAATATAATTCCATTTGTGTATATTTTCCCATGAAATTGTTTGTCTCAAGAGGCTATGTCCAATATTTTACAAGACTCAGGCCCAGACTTGATCCTAAAATAGATATAGAATCATAAAAAATATATATAAACTAAACTACAACTAAAACTACTAAAATTGTAAAAAAAATATATATATTATAAGCAGTTTGCAAAAATATAAAGCCACCATGCGAGTGTCAGTCAAAACGAACAAATGCTTAATGAAAAAGAATAAACAATTTATTGTTAAGTTATGTCACAAATATATTCATAATATAAATGAGGATATTCTTCAAATATATACAATATTTTACAGTACACATATCCCTTCCGAAGGGAATCATTCCAACAACAGACAGTGTTGTTATAAAAACAAATGCTGGGGTTCTCCAAAGAGCATTACGCATTGATACGAAAGTGTTTGTTTTTTTGCAGTGTGACAGCAGACCACTGAGGAAATCCTAAAATAAGTTTGTTGGGGCAAAATGTCATGCTGAGCGGAGTCCCACTTACTCATAGAAGCTGGTTTAATAGCCCTTCTACCTGACGGTATGATGGGGCTATCTTTCACACATTGTAGCACAGAGACTGTCCATACTTTACTGTCCACACTTCACCTACTGCAATGTTGTCCACTTCTTCAACGCAAACATTTCCACCTTAAAGTCATTTGGTCTCACTCTCAGATTACTTTCTGAAATAAGATATCTATTGATTGGCATTATAATTAAGTAAACTGACAAAAAACAGATTTAAGACTCAAAATTAAGTGACTAATAAAGTTGGATTATTTTTGCAGTGTGTGAACTTACTGGCGAGGTCAAGAGAAGGGATAAACGTCAAGCTCCTCAGAAGGGGGTCAGTTTGGAGGTCTTGGCCCCCTGACAGGACTTGACACTGAGCTCACCGCCAGGATGCCTCTTTATTTAGTAAAAAGTCACCTGTCCTCGGGCCCCTCTTCTTGCTCGGAGCCCTCAGAAAGTAGTCTAAACCCCCTTTTGTCCCACTGCACTTTCCCCTTGTCCTTCATCCATTTCAAGCGAGGTGGTACATACTGTATCCGACGTGCGCGGCGTACAGTCCCATGGGGGAAACCGGCAGCGAGTGCCTGTGGAACGGGTGCGAGCCATAGGACGCGGGGTGCGCACCGAGAGGAAAGGAAATCCCGAAAGCTGGAGGCAGCATAGGTTTAGCTGCCATTTTCAATTTTTCAAGTTCTGCCTCCTGCAGCCGCTTGGCTTTGGCCCTCCTGTTCTGAAACCAGATTTTCACCTGTGTTTCCGTCAGGTTAAGGGAGCTGGAGAACTCTGCGCGCTCGGCGATGGAAAGGTACTGCTTCTGCCGGAACTTCCTCTCCAGAGCCAGCAGCTGGGACGTGGTGAAGGGGGTCCGGGGCTTTCTGTTCGTCTTGTGTTTACGCAGGGGACACGCAGGAGGACTCAGCCTTCCTGTAAATAGACATAACACAATTAAAATCATGAACATTTAGCACCATGGATTGTAATACGCAATGACAAATATATTATATTTTATAAAAGTTCAAACACAAGCACAACCCTAAACATATTGAATATTGATAGCCTATTAACTATATCATGCACTGACAACAAACTTACGTGGAGGCGTCGGAGAAAAACGGGGACTCTGTAGCCATGAATTTCTCTCGTTACTGTCCGGGCTCTCGGGTTTTATCAACACGTCGTCAGACATGTTCATGATGTCGCCCACCGAAAACGGGGAGCTCATGGGTAAAGCAGGAGTATCCAGACTACCGAACGAGCCCATCCTAATGCCCTTCCCCAGCACATGTGACGTCCCGGGAACGGACAGGGCATCCGGTGATACCACCTCTCTGCTGGGTTTCCTATCGGCCATCAACGCCTCGACGCTGAAGGGCAAAATAGCTACTTTGGGCTTCACGGGCTCCTCCACGGGACTCAGGCTGGTCTGCATCTCGACCCGGCTGACGAGCACTGAGCGGGGGGGAAGCTCTTCGGTTTTCAAAGCAGCGGTTAAAGCTGACATGGCGATCGATGGGGCCATACAGGTCCGAATGGCACTAGTTGACTCTCGTGGGTACAGTGCAAAGAGTTAAGCAAAGTTACTGCGCTGCGCCCTAAGGTGACGGTATCCTCATGTTTATGTGACCAAATTGGAGTGCAGGGATATAATAAGGCAGGCGTGGAGAGAGAGGCGGCCAATCAGGGGCGAGAAGGGCTGGACCTGGACTTCAAAAAAAAAAGAAAGAATCACAGTGGGGAAGTTAACAATAGTAACAGAAAAAAAAACTTCAGATGAACATAAACACAACCCACTCTTAATGGGCCGTGGTTTCATTAAGACTAAATCCCACAAAAATGATGCATACCCTATAATTATCCTCCCATTAAGTTATTGACATTTTATAAAAGCAGTAGGCATTTCTATTCTTATTTCTGCTCTTTTATAACTTTTCTTTCCTAAACAGTTTGACATGCTTTATTCACATGATGACTGCTTTTGGCCATGTGCTAAATCTGGCTGGAGTGAGTCTTGAATGTTGCACAACAGTTTACTGCTGCCTCTTTATGTGATGAACCTCTTGCAGCGCGCTGTTTATTGATGGCTGCGGGGCTCTAATCAGATTGAAACACACAGGCCTTCGCAGTCATTTAGGCGTAATTATCGGGCTTGGGGGAGGGATCAGTACGATTTTCCCCCTTTGACTACATCCATTAAAGTCAAAAATGATGTGGAGTCGCGGGGGCAAGGGGGAGGAGGCACCGTGGAGCCAGGGAGAGATCTAACCCAGGACTGTCATTGATTTACCTGGGTATGCTATTTACCTCCCCATTACGCACAGTGCTTAAAAATAGGGGATTTTTGTTGTTGTTGTATTCATTGCAGAAAATAATAGGCTAATCTGGATATATGGGCAAGGTGAAATACATTTTGAATTCATACCAAAAACATATTCTCATTTAAATTATTTGAAATGCCTATATATTTTTCACCTTTTTTGCTGTGAAGTCAGTTCTCATGAAAGCGTCTGCGTCGCTAATTGCCAAGCATAAACAATCTGTCACGATTTGTCAGTCTCCCTAATGGGCAGACAAGTTATGTTGTTTTTAGGCGCCAGCAGCGCTCGGATCAAAGCGCCCGGCTTTAGGGAGACTATTGAAGGAGTTGAACCCGCACCGAGAGCGCAGCACCGCCTCCTCCGCTGCCCGCCCTAGCCCAGGGACACTGAGCCATTCAGCCTGAAAAATTAGCTTTTTCCCAGCCGATCGCACACCATTTCCATCTATTCAAATGAGCACTATGGTCGGTGTAAAAGTAAGACTCTTCTGAAGAAAAGGTCAGCATCCCTTCACCGAAAAGGGTTCCTCGATGTGTTTCCCAACATCTGCACTGGACCACAGATCCCTGTCTGAGGAGGTGTTTTTTTGCTTTTTGTGCAGGAGTATGTGAGGCGTTAAATACAGTGGGTGGTTGTGAGACCTCAAACCAATCGTCCTCATAATCTGTCTGTCACTGTGCCATAACGTTACCAAAGGGAATGAATAAACCCTTTGCAGGACCACAGGGGTACGTGGACCCCAAACCACTGCCTCATAAAGTTTAATCTTACTGTGCTGTTGCCTATAGCATAGAAATCATAAATGTTTTTCCTGGCTTGAATATTGCAATTAACATTTCAAAGTGACACTGTTATTTTACCTGGCACATACTTACCTGCTTTGCATCCATGAGCAATAAAGATGACACGATAAGGTAAATAATTCGCTATTTTGAGAGGTTTTTTTATTATGGTAATTTGAGAGGAAGTGGAATCAAATACAATTATTTTTGTTACTCTTATAAATATAAAATGTGACATGTATTAGGATAATAAATCAATACAAGTTATCTCTTTGAAAATGCGTCTTCTTGAACAACAGGCATAGAGTGATTTCCAGTTTCCACGTTCATATTTAAATTGCAGCCTCAGGTGTTTCCTAATAGTCGTTTTGCATTTGACAACAGATAACCTTCTTTGTAGGAAAAAAAAACTTAACACAAGTCTTAATTTATCATTTCCTCAGCAGCACATCCTGTGTGTGTGCAGGTAGGGCCTCCACGTGCAGCTGCGGTGTGTTTGGAAACACTTAAAGCCTCTAACCTGGAACGAGTGGCATTGCTCCGAAAAGCTTTGAAGTCACCGGAGTCTCCGGGGCCGCCACGTCCGTCTGAAGTCCCCTCAGCTCGGGGCTGGAACACTTAACCCGTCCTCCAACACCAACTCGTTAAACGTGTGTGCGTAAACACAAATAGGCACACATGAGACGCATTAACGTGTGCAGTTTGTTAACGTGCAGCAACAACGCGTAGCCTGCTAATTGTTCCTGCTGATGTGTACTCGTTCAGAAACCCATAAATCATATTGATTCCGAAACACTGCAGATATGTTATAGGGCTACTATTCCCACTGTGTTTCCCTGACTTCTGATTTGATAATATAATGAAGTTGATGAAAAAATACTTCATGCAATAATGAAATAATATTTGTTTTATTTATAATGTCTGCTTCACTTCTAACTTTTCTTTACTTGATGATTTATTAACTTGCCCAGAAGTTGATTTTGATGAGCCTCTATTTAACCTGTTTGTTATTTTGTCTCCACTTTATTTGCCTTGTGAACAGAGGGACAGTGGTGCTGGAAAACAACGTTGCTGGCAATTAGCATCCCAAACAGTGGCCTTTAAGAAGACTGATGTGCCATGAAGAAGGCGATTACCATACCGTTTTATTTAAATCCCAAGGCAACAAATGAGGGCCGAGCTGAGGTACAAAACAACTGTTAGGCTCATCGGGCCTTTATTTCACTTTATAAACTACTTTGATTCCCAGTCAGGAGGCAGGGACTCTCGCACAAAGGCCCATTGTTGCCTCCTCTCAAAGTTGTCTTAACCCTTTTCATGCAAGGTCTGTCAATTTAGACTGTAAAGACATAAAAGGGAGGGTCGATGTCAAAAGGCATTTTCAGGCGAAAAATATTTGCACTTGGTGAGACTTTCGTGGGGGGACAATGCACTCACGTGAGTATGAATCCTAAACCCTGGTCATATTTTAAATGTGGTAAAATGTGTTGCAGCTTACAATTTTAGAAGTGAATTTGTTTGTCACATTTTATAAAGGAAAAAAAAGTTTAACATTTCAGTGGTTTTAGGAAAATGTTAACTTTATGATGCACCTCGGGGAGATGATAGGAAACAGCCTGCAGTCTATCTCGAGGTCTGCATAATTATACATAATGTATCTTATTTCAAAGCAATTAGCGCAATCAGGCGAATCGGAGCACTTTGCTGCCAGTAAGTAACAATGCCTCTCGGTCATTTAAGCTTCAACATGCCATTCACACTCTGGCTCACAGGTCCGCCTGCAGACCAGCTTCAGTCCATTTGGCAGGTGTATGTGTCCCAAGTCCAAAAGTCACCCCCGAACCAGTTTATGTTCATTTAATCCGAAGACACAAAAAGAAACCTTGTAATAGGCCTACCTACTATATTATAAGTGTCTGTTTGAATATTAAATACTGCATTTTATATTTTAAGAAATACCATTTGCATCAAATGTAAGATGATACAATCAAATCATCCACAGGTATATGTCACCGATTATGGCATTTAGAAATAATTATCATAGTTTTAATAATCAGAAAATCTATTAAAGTTTAATAAAAACACATCATAGTGATTTTCTATAATAGCATGTTTTACTAACTCAAATATTGCCATAAACAGTTATTATAAGTCAGTCAAAATATAAGAATATGAACTATGAATTAAGTATTATGTAAATTACATAAAGTTGTAGCCATGCATATTTAGTAAAACGTTCCAGCATTCCATTTTATTTATTTGTTTCATACAGACTCAACAGTATTTTAAGTTAAAGCAGCTCGTCCCCCTGCAGCCTCGGTGAACAGCATGGAAACAGCAGCAGCTCGGAGAAGAAACAGACTCCACGTGAAGACTGGCTGGCTGGGTCCCGGACCGGTGATAAATGCATTTAAAGCTTCAACGATTAAACGACTTCATACGGCTTGTAGGAAGAGAAGAAGAGCAGGGAATAGTTTTCGAATTATTAACTCTGTAAGTCAATCAGATCCACCGCTTATAGTGAACTTTATTCGCCATTCATCTCCCTCACCTCTCCCCGGCTGACAGGCTGGATGAATGTGTCCCACGGTGATGATAAAAAAAACCTCGTGCGGCTGAGAAAAAAAGAAAACGTTGTCGCCAGCCTAGCGGGGGGCCATATTGTTAGTCTTTCAAAAGAAGGACTTACATCGATTCAAAGTCACTCGGAAATGACGCCTAACGATTTAAGGTTGTTTGAAATAACACATATGAAACTTTATTCCCTCTGTTAATATTCAAATGACTGTAAATCAGATAAGAAGAGTGTGTTTTGGTTGAAGTCCAAGTGTTTCGGCACATCAGTGGACTGTTGAACAATTCCGAAACTCGGTTCTGATTGGCTATTAACCGCAGGATGACTTAAACACACACCTGTGACTGCATTACTCTTGGTTTAATATCAATGCGCTAATTTTAAAACCGCTTTACTGTTATAGGAACTATAATGCTTGTCGACAAATTATAATCAACGTTATTATGTAGTTTAATAATTATAGATTTATGACATTAATAAATGTGCTATAATTAGGCTATTTATTATTTTCACTAATGTCTTATACTAATAATTGTTAAATTGTTCTAAAATCACTAGGTTACTTTCCTGACTTTGTGCTTTATAATTTTAAATCTTCATCTAAATGACAATATATTGAAAAAATCTCATAAAACCTGCTTTATCTATTTAATAGACTTGGCAGCATAACTGCACAAGTGATGTGCATTTCTTAATAGATTAGTTGCATTTTTTATTACGTTACTTTGTTAGTTTGATAACCACATTTATAAATTAGTTAAGTGATCCATCCACCTCATATTGACTATCCAAATCATTGCTATTCAACACTTATGTTATTATTTTTAGCAGCTACATTATCATTATATTATTATAAGTGTGTGTTAAAAAATATATATTTAGCATTAAAATAGAATAAGATAGCCTACTCAAGACGAGGAGGTCTAAATAAGCTTATTTAACAAAAATA